TAAACTTCATTTTTTAATAAGCTTGGTACAAAAATTTATGTATTTATATATATATATATATATATATATATATATATATATATATATATATATATATATATATATATATATATATATATATATATATTATAAAAGAAGTTAATCTTCATCAGATTCATCTGATAATTCTTCGCTACTAACATCGCTGTCATCTTCTATTTCACTTTCCTCACTCGTAATATCTGACTCTGTAATAACATGAAAAAATTAAGTAAATTATATAATAATGAATATAATTATTCCATAATTATTTTCCAGCACAAAAAACATTTCTTGAAATAATTTCTCAAGACAAAATAAAACACGTGGTCGACTGAGAAAATGTTTGCAGGCTTATGGTCGACACTAACGTGGGATACCTAATACGGAGTAAGCAATGCTCTGCGCACGCGTACCGCCGTACTGGGGTGACTCAGCTGTAGTAGCAAAATACAGAAACCCAAGCGACACAATTTTTTTACTACCTCTGTTAGCTACCACAATTGAGAATTTTCGCATAGGAAATTGTTGGGCGACTCATCGAAACGAAGCTATTCACGAAGATTCAGCTTGATAGTAATTATTTTTACATCAAGGATTTGTACTACTACTTTTGAGCGTAGGACCAGGATAACACACCACGCAATTTGTAGGACAATATGTCTGTTAAATTATATAAATATTAACTAAGTAAAAACAAAAAAAAATCAGCTGGTTAGTAATCATTTATGATGACCTCGTTATCGATACATATTGGATAGAGGGGACTCTTTGATCAAACCATAGATTTTGTAGGACAAATATTTTTTCGAATAATTTAGATAATTTTAATCTTTAGATATAATCTTAATAATCTTGAGATTTAGATAATAATCTTGAGATTTAACAAAAAAAATTTAGTTATTAATAAATATTTGAGAATCATCAAATCAACATATTTTATCTTTGCTACTTCTGTTAGCTACCACAATCGAGAGTTTCGTATAGGCAATTATTGGGCGTCTCATCAAAATAAAGCTACTCACGGAAAATTAGCTTGATAGTAATCACGTGCAAAAATGGGCGATGGATCCTGAACTAAATATACTTAAGAATCTTGAAATTAAATTACGAAAGATCGTGATTTTATTACGAAGATCTTAAGAAAAACTTCTGGAAATTGGTGTATTAAAAGTTTATGGTGGTTTAGGGAAAAATTATCAAGAAGACTGAGCTGTGAGCGAAATGAGTCACGAGAGTTTCGGGAAAGTTTTCCAAAAATATTAGCGGAGAAAATTTAAACCGGCTGCATTAACTTAAAAACTTAAAAGTTGCTGGTATATGGTTTGTTATATTATTCTGACCGCAAGTTATGACTTTAATCTACGCTTTTAAAAGGAAATATTCTGTTTTTTTTTTTCAAATTTTTGCGGAATTTGGCAAAAAGGGTTTTAAAGTTTTCAAAACAGCATTGAAATTGATTAAGATATACTAGCTACTAGTACTACAATTCACTAACAAAATATTAAGATTAAAGTGATCTTAAACCTGAAGAAGAAGTCATATTTAAACAAATTAATGAAATCTTCATGATTTATTTGTGATTTAAAAATATACATTTAAAAAAACGTGGCTAAATTATATTTTTGCAAAAATGAAAAATCTAACCTGATGAATATTACTGATTTCTTTACGCAGTTATTATTTTGAAAAAAAAAAATACATTCCAAAGACCTTGTTTGATTACCCTTTTTTTAGTTTTCAAACCAACTTATAATTACAAGTTACATCCCAATAATATTTTCAACGCAATTTCTCAATTTCTCTTTTTTGTCGTAACTTAACTCCTGTAAGCCAATAAGTACTGTATTTGCAAAGAAAGGTCTAAACAATGGTGTTGAATGAAATGAAATTAATGATATTTATTCAATGTAGATTAGTGTATAATAATTATTGTGAGTCATTTTTTATTTACCACTGGTTTACAAAAAAACCTCTATCCTGGGAAGAACCGGCAAGAAACTCAGCGGGACTTTTTTGTAACATATTTCAATTATAATAAATTTATCAAGGGTTTTGAAATATTTTACAATATCTTGTGGTAATACTTTTTGAGATCTAAATTCTTTCAAACGGGTATTAATATTCTGTTTGAGTAATGAATCAGCGAGAGTTGGAGAAATATTCAATGACTTTATTGTCAAAAGAGGAATTTCAGTGAAAAATTTCTCATACACCGCTGCGATTTCTTGGTTTGATCCAGTCAATTCATTATTAATTTTCAATTGATAATTTGTGTAAAGAAGTTTGTCTTTACTATTGATTATACCCCACATCATTTTTATTTTATTTTTGGAGGTCTTAATTTTATTTCTAATATGTAAGGATTTGGGTGTGAAATACGCTTTTTTAAACATTTTAAAACAATTTTTGACATATTCTCTAAAATTATCGGAAAGATTATATGATCTTTCATGGTAAAATTCATATAAAATTTATCTGTTCTTATGAATTCCTGCTGTCGCCCACTCATTAAATGCCTTGCTACTATTACTGGAGAATGTTTTAGAAGTAAATGTTTTGTTAAATTTTTGTAAATAATACTCCACGTCTGAATTGTTCTTGTAAGAAAGCAATTGAAAGTTTTTAACTATATTACTTCTAAATCTCTCGGGGCGTTTTGCATTATTTATTTATTTATTTAGGCTTACCAACTAAACACATACAAAACATTATTATTATTAAACATTTGCAGTTATAAACAAAATTATACTATATATGTATTTAACTTAAAGGTATGCACAACATTTCAACATGAAACTTAAAATTAGTTTTGAAATTAACAGATAATAAAATATGATATAAACACAAAGACTATTCTATGCAATACAGGTAAAATTATAATTTGGTAGAGAGCTTAACATTGTATAATTTAAAGTTTTTAATTTTCAGTTTGAGTGTTGTATAGAGATATTTTCTTTTTTAAGGAACCCAGACTATCACTAACATTTACCGAATATATCATTGTACTTTCTCATCATAGAACATAGAGGAGAGTTGTTACCATAATTTTTGCTATTGAAAATTACACAACCTTGCTGAAACTCTGGACACTTTCAAGTTAATTTGTGATAGGAGGGATGGACAATCCACTTTATTATTAAGTAATTTATGTAAAAGGCTTATAGATAGCAAATTCTTTCGCAGCTCCAATGATAAAATTTCGAAATGCGCTAATCTTTCAGAGTGTCTGCGAATTGTACGATGAACACCACTTACATAAGATATTTTATTTAAAAATCTTTTTTGGATTCTTTCTATACGCTGAATATTATTTTGATAAGACGGGTACCATACCAAGTAGAGAGAGTCCAAAAGTACTTTGGGTCTTTAATCACGCTGTCAACAATATTTTCAATGTATCTGTCATAACATTTTTTGATTAATGTTTTAGTTCTAACAGATATTGTATTCAAATTTATCTAATTCATTCCCGTACTTTTTAAACTTTTGACGAGATTTTTCCTTTTCTCGTAATAGTTTTATGAGGTTTGTTGTATACCATGGAGGAAATAATTTTTTGTTTTGTATGCGACACGGAACAAATTCAGTGATAACTTTTTTTATAATAGAGTAAAACTTCGATACAACTTCATCAACAGTCGAACAGTTTTGGAACTCCGAAGTCCAGTTGAGGTCCAATAAACGGGCTCGTATACTATCATAATTCGCTAAAAAAACTTATATTTAGGAGTTTGTCTTGGAGAGAGTATTTTTGCTTTACATAAAACTAAGTCCACTTCAATTGGGGGATGATAGTTGTCTATTCGAGAAATTATACTGTTTGGTTTTTTAACGGAAATATCACAGATTGTGTTACTCAGCACGATGTCGAGAATTTTGCCCTGGTGATTAGAGATCTGACCGTATTTCTTTAGATCATAACTAGACAAAAAGTCAACGAATTCATAACCGAAGATATTTCTAGGTTTAAGCGATGAATCTGCATTAGAAGGAGTCCAAACAATGTCACGCAGATTAAAATCTCCGAAAATAAGAATATCATTGCATGTATTATTAATGACATTACCAGAATTTTCAGTAAAATGCTTGAGAAGAGTTTGATTTAGAGGAGAATGTAAGTAAACTGAACAAACACAGATTCTATAATTACCCAGCTCTAGGGTTACCCATATATCTTCACAACTAGATTCAAAATTGTGGTTTCTATAAGTACTAATTGGCTTTTTCACAGCGATAGCAACACCATCTCCATCATTATTCTCATTAAAAGTGTTGGATGATCTGTCCCTCCTAAATACTTGATATCTACTATCGAAAATTTCACTATCAAATATACTATCGTTAAGCCAAGTCTCTGTTAATACGATTAAATCGAAATTGTTAGCGCTAACTTCCAAAAAGACATCAGGTAATTTAGTCCGCATACCGCGGATGTTTTGGTAATAAATTTTAAGAGTGAATTTTAAAACTAAAAACAATGACCGTTGCTAAAAAGATGTTAAAATCTAATTTAAAGATTTCAAGGTAAACTGGCGTAATATCACTTTTTCTGGATGTTCATTGTCTTTTCTAACAAAAAATCTTCCATTTCTTACCCATACATATTTGTAATTTTTCTCTTTCGCCCAGATTCTCGTTGCAGCATGCAGTGATTTATTAGCTTGGGAGAGATGTTCACCGATATAGACGGCTGATTCAACATCGTCAAAGCCTAAAAGTTTGGTGTTCAATTTTGCTTTGGGATGATACTTGTTATATTTTTATACAGCTGCAAGTAAGTTGACGCGTTTTAATTTACTGACAAATCTGCATATAACTGTTTTGGGTACTTTTGAGGATGGGTTTTGTTTTTGAACTCTATTGCAGGCAACAATGTCAGTTTCTGTAAGAGGAAAACTAACTACTTTACTGATTTGCATAAGAGTGTTAACTAAGTTCTCTTGTCTGTGCTCTGGTAGACAATGAATTTCTATATTATTTTACCTCGAGTCCTGCTCTATAACAGACAACCTCGATTCCAAATCATTGACTTTGCGCTGAAATAAGTTGTTCTCAAGCTGGATTGTTTTATTCATTTCCACACAGGCCTCAACATTATTTTTCATTTCTTCAAACTTATTATTCAAGTAGCTTAACGAATCTTCACAGCTGCGTAATTCCTTTCTTAATATGGAAAACTCCTCGCTTATTGCTGCTCGTACAATATCTCTTATTTCTTCATGCAAAATATTTCTGACAGCGGACCGCAGATTGACAGTTTCTTCAACGAAGCTATTATTTAAAGTATTACCCCGAGTAAAGGTTACATTTTGACGTTCATCGAGTGATTCATTGATAGCTTTAGATAAGGAGTTCTTACCGGGTGTATCATTTTTGATTTTATTACGCTGAGTTGATGACATTTCTTGAATGCTGTCAGGGCATTTCCAGTTAGTCGGCTTTTTAGCACTTGTCAGTTGAACGCAAAAGTAATGAAATTGTTTTTTGCAGTTAGTTTGAGAGCAATAAATCTTTTCATTAGCCTACAGAGGCTTGTTGCAACCGTCATTACAAGCATTCATTTTTAATAGCAAAAAAATAATATAATATAAAAATATATTAACTTTACAACTCGACCGCCTGAATGTAGTACGGCGACGTTCAAGTAGTGACTAAACACAGCACGGAGGCACGCGAAGCGGGCTTGATGCGTGTTATCGTAGGTCAGCGTCAAAGTTTGTTACAAAAAAATTGAAATATTTTCGCTTATATATTACGATTCCCTTTGTATTTCACAATTCTGATTTCACCATTGAAAAGAGCACTTTTTAACGAAAATAATGTTATAAACACATGCTATAGCAACTAAAATTTACTGCACTTTAGATTTAAAATTCACGGAGCGAAAATAAACACGTCTTATACTCTCGGTTACCTCAATTTATTCCATTAATCGGAATAAACAAAATTTTCTCAATTTCCTGTTTTTGTGCATATATGGTAATGAAACCAGTTGACCACAGTGATCTGAACTTAGTTTTTGAATTATGAATTTCTTGATTGGTACATCTGTAAAAATATTATAACAAGTTGCACTACTCTCTGAAATACGTGTAGCTTAAAGGAATAAATTATCAAGATTGAATTATTTGGACAATGAACAAAATTTAGTACTGATGGAAGAAGGTTACAGGAGATTGATATTAAAGTCTCCGCATACTACAAGAGATTTGTTGTGTTTATTAAGCTTAAATAAAACTACTTCCATAATTTTTTCAAAGCTATCTTACCTCGAGCATCGGAGTCTATAAACACTGACACCAATGAGATGCTCAAGCGCAACACATGCCATTTCTACAGTTCGCCCAACAGAGAGGCTTACAATATTTTTAAGTCCTTTACATGATATTGATTTATTAGCTAATATTAGGGAGCCACCACGTAAATTAGTAACTATACTGAGAGAACTGACCATCCGGTGATTACTGAAATTAAATATGGATTTGCAATCTTCTAACCAATGTTCAGTAAAACATGAATTATGTATATGTTTATTTTGATGCACCAGGTTAATACAGTTTTTATTATTGCTATTTTGTGAAATTACACAGTTAAGTATTGTTGATTTATATTCTAAGGTATTTAAATTATCTTTGCTAGAGATTACTTCTATTGTCTTATTATCTAATTTAAATTACTTGGAATTGATTCCAAATCATTTATAAAACTATTTTGCTTCTCAATAGAAGCAGGTGTCAAGGTATCCAAAAATTTGGCTGGGTTAATTATAAATAATAAAATAGCGTATTTGCTTCCAGTCTTAAATTATACTTGGATAGGTAATACGTATCTTTGGTCAAGATCTTCTTAGTTAAATTATTAATATCAATCAAATGATATTTATCAATATAATTCTTTGAATAAAATCTCAAATTTAAATTATTATTACATGTCAAATTATTCATTATTAAATTTAAATTATATCTTAGTTTATTTTCCTGTGGCCACATCTCTATGTAAGCAGTGTGAACAAGATAACTTTATGCACATGTAGGTTGTTAAGATATTCAATATATTTTAATAATTGATTCTTGTTTATATTGCCTCTTCTCCCAACAAAAATTATTAATATACTATTAGGAATAAATTTACTAATCAATATTTTATTTATAATATCACAGAATGATGCTCCAGGCATGCAGTAATTACTTATCTGTTGCCTTTTTAAACAGTTATCTGACGATGTTCCCAAGTTTTTGCCTATATCATCACTATGTCATTTTCATTATGTCAATTACTTTTTAAGTTTATTTGTTTTGTTCCGGTAATCTCATAGAGTGTAGGTGAAGAAAATGAAGTATGGTCACACTGACTGCTTGTCATGTTATTAACACACACTGTCTCTAAAGAACCTGGCATTGAGCGCTGAAACACTGCTTCAACGTTGTCTGCAATATGCAATTTTATACCGTATGCTAAATCTCAATAATTTAAAGAATATCTTCATGTCTACTGTCCGCAGGCCCCTCGTATAATAAAAGAAAAGAATAAATAATTTATTATTATTGGATATCTTCATCAGTTTCAAACTATATTTCCAAACGCAGCTGTCTAAATAGTGAAGGTAGCATTTGCAAATGCAGCAAGCATGTATGCGCGTGGGTACCTCTGACGTATGTTTATTTTCATTGCTAATTGTTTTGTCTTGTCTTTTCTTACCGTCCAAATTTTATGCCAGAGGTTTGTTATCTAGGTAGTTTTATGACGGACCATAAAAACCTGTACAATTCAGTTTTAGTATTATCGTAATTTTTAACACCACTTGGAAGATTTGTCGCATTCTTTGAGGGAGACTTGTGTTCAGCAGTAGACTGTAGTGATGATGATGATGATGAAATAAGAATAAATGTTATTGGTTCACAAAGTTAATGTTCTATTTATTTTACGGGAAATGTTTGAAATCGTTTGGGATACGTTTTTTGCATCAATACATCAAGTAATCACGACAATTTATTATTATTGGACATCTTTATCAGTTACAAAATAAAAGTAAAAATATCTTTGATATTTGGTAAAACTTAAAAAGGCAATCTTGCCATTATCATAAGTTATGATTAAGTTATATTTAAGAACTCATGAGTCGAAAATCTTCCCAGCCTTCTAAACACATACCTTTTCATTAAGCGAAATTACGAACTACTTCCAAAAATTGAAAATCACTTGGCGCTTGGTCGGGAGAATATGGTGGGTGCTGAACCAAGCAGTTCCGCTGCCAGCATCTGAAAAATCAAATCGATGTTATCACAATGAAAAAGTAATCCAGCACGCAATTTTCCGTTTATTCTCTAGATCTTCACGAAGTTTTTTTGATTTAAGGTGCGTAATAACTTCTGGTTATTGTATCTCCTGTATTTACATAATCGATCATTATAGTCTCTGGTTCTCTACACTCACGATACAAAACACAGCAGCATTAAACTGCTATTTTACGCTATACAAGGGCGGCACTGAAAATTTCAGGAATCAAGGAAGTGACACAACATTACTATTTAAAAATGTATTTATTGCTTTTCGAAGTATTTTCCGCGAAATTTGACACATTTTTCCATACGATGGAACCAATCATTGAAGCAACCATTCCATTCGGAAGTTGGGGTCTCCAAAATGGCCGTTTTGTAGGCGTCCACAGCTTCTTCAGGTGATGAAAATCTCTGTCCACGCAATTTATTCCTTATTTTAGGGAAAGTATAGAAATCATTAGGGCTTAGGTCGGGGCTGTACGGCGGTGTCTAATAATTCTATGTTTTCATGCTCTAAAAACTCTTTTGTTCTGTGTGCGGTGTGAGAACTCGCATTGTTGTGATGGAGGATTATGCGGCGGTTGCAGTTCTCTTTACGGAGTTCTGAAACGACCTGTGGCAAACAAACGCTAGCATACCATTCTCCAGCATACCTTTCTTTGTCCCTCAAGAGGAATAGTCGTAACTTGGCCGGTTTTGGAGACAAACGTGGCCACCGTTTTTTTTTTTGCAACAATCCGTGAACGAACAATTTTTGTTGTCTTTAACTCATTTTCAAACACCCAAACTCGTAACTGGTTTTTTGTTTCGGGTTCGTACGTGTATATCCAGGGTTCGTCACCTGATACGATGTTGTGTAAAGGATTTGAGGATCCTGCGTGGAAACTTTCGAAAGTTCTGACGCACCAAGTAACGCGAGCTGCTTTTTGCTCTTCACAGAGCGAATGCGGTATCCATCGGGAAAACAAGTTTTTTACACCTAATTGTTCATGCAAGATTATTTGTATTTGACTCATGCCAATGTCTAAAGTTGCCTGAATTTCGCGGTATGTCACATGTCGATCTTCCTCAATCAACCTACGCGACTTGGGTGACTGCAGTTTTTGGACGACCTTGACGGGGATCATCACTGAGCTTCACACGTTCACGTTGAAATTCAGCAAACCAGCGATAAATTGTGGTTTTGGATGGGGCTTCATCACCAAATGCAGAAATCATCCGGTCAACACACTGTTTTTGTGTTAAACCACTTCGAAAGTCATAATAAATCATCGCTCTTGAATTTTCTCGAGTCAATTCCGTTTTCTCAACGACTAAACAAGTTTGACAAAACCTTGTGACAAGACCGAGAATCTTTTTTTAAATAAATAAATAGTATTCGATTTTTAAGACCAAGAAGTTTTCAAATAAAAAGATTTTAATATGACAGGAACAGTGGAAATATTCCATTCTCGATAATTTTAGGGCAGCCTAGTAAATAGCAATTATGTTTGTTGAAACGAAATTGAAGTTCACTTAACTAAACCATTATTTAAACTTACCGTACCGTATCCTACCGTGTAGTGGCGGTTAAGAATATCCACTACCCCATATCTTCACGTGGGTGTCGTAAAAGGCGACAGAGGGAAACAGGCAGGAGATGGGCAGCAGCATCTTCCTGATAACAGTAACTGTACGACAAAAAAAACTGCGGTTGCTAACCCGCTCGCCAAGCGTTGCAATTATGGCAATATACCCCCCATGAACAATTACACAAATAGACGGCCCCCAGGCCCCGGCGGCCCCGCTAATCCTGGCGACGGTGGCGACCATGGTAACGGCGGGGCAGGGTGTGCTAAAAATCTCCGGTGGAGGTTCGGTTGCCACCTACGACGACACGACCTGGCAACATTTAACGCACGTACCCTGAGGACTGAGGAGAAGATCCTGGAGCTGGAAGAAGAGATAGACAAGTTGCGCTGGAATATTATAAGATTATCCGAGGTCCGAAGAGAGGGGGAGGACACGGTGACTCTAGAATCCGACAACTTGTTCTGTCACCGGGAGGGCGACCATCTGTCCCAAGGAGGTGTCGGATTTATCGTCCACAAGTCTCTCGTCAACAACGTTGTAAAGATTGAGAG